TTTCAAAGCATTAGCCAAAAGGAGCCCACTGTTCAGAACTGGATGAGTGAATAAATACTATGAATTCCCCATTCCTCTCTGCTAGCAAGTTAGACTTTTAATATCAGTTATTGAGGGTAAATTTTACTGTATCATTTTGAGCAGCTTATGTCATAGAGCTGTAATGATTTGATTGCTGTGCTTTGCACCAATTGAGGGAAGACACGTGGATGCAGAGCCAAATCCTGTTTACTCCTTCTTAAAACTGCTGCTTCATTAGGGCTTGAGGAATAAAGAAAACAATTGTATTTTTCTTGTTTTCGAATGAAGGAAAGGTCAAAAGTGAGTTCACATGGGGTATGAAATACATGGATCTTAGGTGACCAATGTATATTTTTCCTTCTGCACAAACTGTGTCATAGTGAGTGGTTCTGTTTGTGGAAGAGGACGTCAGACTGGGTGGTCTGTAAATCTTCCCCATCAGTGTGGCACTGGGATTTTGTCCAGCATCCTGAAGTGGAATAACAGGACTTAGCCAGGCTTGCGCTGGGCTGCTGAGGCAGGGGTTTGCAAAGGAAGCCTGCCTGTCTTTGAATTCATCCAACAATGTGCTTCTTTCTGCTGAAAATTGCACTTTCAAATACAAGTAAGTCTATCCCCAAGCAATTAGCAGCCAGAGAGAGAGGTAGCGGAGGAGGGAGGACAGGGAGTGACAAAGCCATCTCCTGTAATCTTTCTGTGCAGTTGGGTAAATAAGCAGCAGAGCAACAGCTTCTCACCCCCTTTCCTATGCAGGTGTGTTTCAAGACGTTTGCAAAAATATTAACCCTGCATACAGAGTGTGCCAGTCAGTAATTATGGAAATTAGTTGGCAATTAGATAATGTCACTCACACTCTGCATACAGCTGATAAGTGGTTGAGAGCCACTTCAAAGCAAGGGCGAGACCCCCTCGGTGGGCTGCTGAGCAGATGGCTCTGACCTGGCATTAACAGGCTGCTGTCGAGTTGGGGAAAGCGTGCGGCGGATAGGCAGCGCTCGCCTTTGGCACTTTGGCCCCTTCCCAGGTTGGGGAACTTGTGCAGCTCTGTCAGCCCTGAGAGTGGGATGTTTCAATAGTGCGGGTGGGTGTGTTTCCTGCAGTGGGTTTGGCTGTGCGAGATGCTGAGCCGTCTGTTCAGTGTGCAGGTTCCTCGCTGCTGCAGCTCTCAGGTGGGCCATGGAGGCGGTGCAAGCTGTTGGAAGTGCAGCAGAGGTAACTTGCTTGCTGCTGCCCATCATGAAGTCCCTTTTCATGCAAGACGTGGTCATGCCATGACAGTGAGACTTCTCAGAGATAAAATACGTAAAACAATACTCTGGGATTCTGTAGCTTTTGTCCCAAACACTCATGTATTGCTATGGTAGCAGTGTGCTGTATGAGGCTGCTAGGGTAGTATTTATGCTAAAAATAAAATGGTAAGAGCAGAAAATTATTCATTCTCAGCGTGTCTTGGAGAATCATTGTGGGCATGGGTGAGGCACAGGGTTGGTGTTTCAGGATTTACTCTCTCAAGGTTGGGATTCAAATCGTGCCTCCTTCTGTAAAGGGCACTGGGTCTTCTGAGCTCTTCTTGAAGACCCTGCTAGTGCAGTAAGGTTTACTCTCAGAGACTTAACTGTGTGAGACGTGAAGCTGGAGTAATGGGAAGCACCATGAGTCAGGACTGACGTGTGCTGACAGAGCTCTGGGGGAGTCACAGATGGCCCTAGCCTGCTAGTGGCTGGGTGTGGGCAGCCTTCCCAAAATCTGAGCTGCAGTGTCTAAAAGGCAGTGAAGCACCCAGCAATGACACCTATATTTCATGGTTTTTGCATTGTCTTCCTCTTCTGAAACAGAGCTGGCATTGTCTTCTTTCAGAACAGCTAGAAAGGGATTACCTTGGCTTCTCTCAATCAAAACAGAAAGAAGAATTGCCTCAGCTTCCCTCAGTCAAAACTGCTGTTCTTGTTTAACCATTTCTGTCTGGTTTCCCTTGTTGACTATGCCTTTTGTCCTGCCCTCATGAACTTGTGTCATTACAGAAATTTGCACTACAGAGGTATCCTACTGCCATTATTGTACCTTTGAAATATTCCAAGGATTGAAGTGACCCACAGAGGCTGGGATTTGTCTGTGTAAAACAGGGTATCAGCATCCTGGGATTGGGAGAGATTGATAGGCTTTTCTAACAGGAGTTTGAACTGTGTGTGGACATAGGCATCTCATCTGTGGTTATCTGTAGTGTTCCCACCTGCTGCTGTGATTTGCAGCATTTTTCACTGCTTATCAAAGTGTTGGTCTTCTAAAACAGGGATAGAAGAGTATAAGACTGAGGGCTGCTTTTGATGCAGATGGTGCAATCTACCCTGCCCAGGAGAATTAAAAGCTGGGATGAGAGCCCTGGTGCACTGGGGTCTCTGGATAGTTGCTACCATGATGGGTTTTCCACTCTTCTCAGCTCAGGCTGAGCACAGAGCTGTCTGATGGAGTGGCAAATTTTGCCATGGTGGTAGTAAATGGTCCAGGAAGCTGTGAGCTGCTAGAAGCGCCTCACTGGCTAATTTACACACATTATGATGTTCCTATTTCCATCTCATCAGTAATTCCAGGCTTGGGTCATCACTTTTTCTCTTACCTTTCTCTCACTCTATTCTTCTCCATAAATCATGGGCTATTTTAGTGGATCCACTAGGGAGCAGAGAGAAGAAAAATAAATGGACGAGAACCACATAATTTTTTTTGCAGTTAATTTTTCAGGACCCCCCAAAACCCCCATGAACTTGGGCAACATTGTGATTATTGGGAAGACAAATTAATTGAACAATTGGATTCTTCATTTAATTCTTTGTTCATTTTACACCTCTCCTAACACCTCGTTTTTCCACCTTCCATTTTCCTCAGCCAAGCTGTTAACAATTAAAAGGAATTATCTTCCCTCTGGTTTTGACTTGATTTTATTTGTGTTTATAGCAGTTTAGCTAACGTGCTCCACTCAGGCAGCTGCAGGGAGCAGGCCTGGTTTCCACTGGGCGCTGAAAGCTCACATTTCTCTCCAACTTGTGGGTTTTCTTTTAATTGATCCCTTTTGTTTTCTAAGTGACTTGTTTTTTGTGCTGGCTAAATTTGTCAGACTGACAGCTCTGGGGACTTATGGCTTCTGCAGGTCCTTGAGTCAGGTGAGGATGTGACTGTGGGAACTCAGCCCTCTGTTTCTAGTGATTTTTCTCCAGCTCAACCTCTGTCCCTACTAAACAGAAACTTTCCAGCACTGCCCACTTCTGCAGTGTCTGTGTGCCTTCTCCTTCAGAGCAAGATGGGTGATGAGGTTGAAAGGCATCTGCTGTGAACAGCTCTCACAGTCCACAGCACAAAACACTTTTCCCAAGCAAATACTGCCTCACAATATTTGTGTTCCAGTTTGTGGAAGCTGTGTTCATGCTGACTTTTGTGAGGCTGAAGGCTTTGATTCTCATCACCTCCTTTCCTGCTTTGCATCAATGCTACTGTTAGCCATTCCCAGAGCTGTTCTTGTGTCCAGCCCATCTTTGTGAACAAACACCTGTGCTAATAGAAAACTTACTTTCTTCTTGGGTAGAATTTTCAAAGAATGAACCTAGCTTTGTGCTGCCTTTACTTGTCACTTAAAACATCCTCCTACACCAGACATACAGTCACCCACATGCAAGTATGCAGAAGCGAGTTAAATCCCAGTGTTAACAGATGTAACTCATTGAAGGCAGTTAGAATTCTTTGCTCTTAATTAGAGGTGAGTCTGGCCTTTTTGCCAAACCACTAGACCAGGGTAGGTGGTCAAGTGCTTAGGCAGTTCTTAGCATCTAAGATACAAGTTTGCTATCATCTAAGCTGCAGGTTGCCATATATAATTTGCATAGCACATGTTTCCAGGTTGCAGAGGTCTGTGGTAGAGTCAAGCACATGCATGCAAGACATGTGAAGTAAAGGAAGCTGTTGTGTGACAAGCTGACAGCAGGGTTGTCTTCTCTAATGCTTCCTTGGTGTGCTAGGAAGCATAATTTAAGCAACGAAATAGGAAGTTTGGATAATGGCATGTCTTGCCCTAAACAGATTTGAAACTCTAAGTAGCTCTGGTCTTTGCCCTAAGCATTTTCATGGAGCGGTAATTGTTACTGGGAAAGTTAAAGTCAATGAGATTGCATCCATCAAAGGAGTAAAATAATTTGGTGTATTGCTCATCATTGTTATGTATGCAGATGTCTTGGTGAGTTCTCTATTTTGGCCTCTTAGTTTTGAGGACATACATGTCCTTGCTGCTTTTGAGAACTGGACAGCCAATTGCAAGCATGAAGTATCCAGAGTATCAAGAAATGTAAACGAGTTATTGGACAAGATGTTAGTAAGCTTCATAGTAAAGACATGGTGAGTAGTAAGATTAACATTTTCTCTTTCTTTTTTTGTCTTGACCTCACAGGTCCTGCAAACTCCGTGAGTGCCAAGCAGTGAATTATGGGCTGGGTATCCACCAGTGCATCATGAAGATTGACTTTATTTTTGCCCTCTTGAAGATTATGTGCTTTATGAATTCACTCTCTCTTCTGTATCACTGCCATCTCCGTCAACATCACTTCTAGAAAACAAGAATTTTAGGCTTGGGCTTTGGCTCTCCCTTTCCTTTCTCCTGGAACACCAGTGTCACCTTTGTGTTCTACCAAAACAAATCACTATAGGTTATTTTGCCCTTCAGAGAAGTACACCATCTGGAGAAGTCACTTCATGTACCCTGTACTTCAGAGATAAAAGCCTCTGGTTCCTAAAGGATAATTGAGATCTTTCCTTGGGAGGAGACACTTCCTCTTGGTCACTTGTGCACTTGCAATCTCACTTTCCACTTACTCTCCTGCTCTCTGTCACTCTGCTCTTCTCTTCCTTTTGGATTTAACATTTGGTGGTGACTGTTGGGGTTCTCCTCCCAGTAGTGTGGCTTCTTTTTTTCTCCTAGGGAAGAGCAGATTCTTGAAACAATGGGTTTCACTCTGCATTCTGTCTACTTCACCTTGAAGGTGAGTTTGCTGCTGGGATCCTTGCTGGGTCTCTGTTTGGGTCTGGAGTTCATGGGCATCCCGAACCAGTGGGCCCGCTACCTCCGCTGGGATGCCAGCACTAGGAGCGAACTCAGCTTCCAGTTCAAGACCAATGTCTCTGCTGGGCTGCTTCTCTATTTTGATGATGGTGGTGTCTGTGACTTCCTCTGTCTGTCCCTGGTTGATGGGCGCATCCAGCTGCAGTTCAGTGTGGACTGTGCAGAGACAACAGTTATCACAGACAAGCAGGTAAATGACAGCAACTGGCACTTCCTGATGGTGAGCCGCAATCACCTTCGGACGGTGCTAGTGCTGGATGGTGAAGCCAAGCCAGGCGAGGTGCGTCCACAACGCCAGTACATGAATATCGTCAGTGACCTTTTTATTGGTGGAGTCCCACTGGACATTCGTCCTGCTGCCTTGACTCTTGATGGTGTTCTGAGTGAGCCTCCATTTCAAGGATTTATCCTGGATCTGAAATACGGCAATTCTGAGCCGCAGCTCTTGGGCAGTCAAGGGGTCCGACTGGAAATGGAAGGACTTTGCTCAGAAAACCCCTGTGAAAATGGTGGCACTTGCTTCCTTCTGGATGGTGAGCCACACTGTGACTGCTCAGCCACTGGATATGCTGGCAAACTATGCTCTGAAGGTAAGAGAATACTTCCCTGCTTCTCACTGACCTTTACACAATCCAAAGAGTTAATTTTTTGTTTAGCAGAGCTATGACAGAGTTCTTATTCCTGCTGATGGTTGTCCGAGGAAATCAAGTTCCACCATTCTTTTTCCAAATGGAAGCAATGAAATGGGAGTAGATAGAGAGTGAGCAACAAGTGTCTTTCTCAAAGGATGCTGCACTTGTAGCATGGGCAGATTTTTGTCATCATCATTAATTTCATCAGCAACTTCTTAATAAAGGTAGAGAACATAAATTTGTAAATAAAATGAAGAAGTAGTTAGGTTAGTGTTGGTAAAAGCAATGGCTGGCTTTTTCAGTAGTCCCTGGCAAACAGGAGCCATATATATATACATATATATATATACACATCACATAACTGATTGACATTGTATGTCAATGTATACTTATTTGCTGTTAGCTGTTGCTAGCCTGTGGAAGCCCCATGCTTCCCTTCAATTGCTTGCATACTAATCACTGAATGGCACCTTGATTGTTTTAGCATCCATGATTAAATTGCTTAAACTGCTCTTAAAATTGATCTTACTTAGTGTTGCAAAGGGAAGAGGGATTGTTTGGTACTCTCTTTTTGATTTTGAGTTTAAAAGTTCTAAGTTATGCAAACCACATGATGAAGTGTATTTCAGGTTTTTCCTTTGGTCTTTAGTAATGTGATTGTAATTAACTCTGTAGGTGTGGGAGACTTAAGTGTCAACTGAAAATCCCTGTGTGAATCTGAAAATCTCATCACGTTATTTATGACATTTGGCTTTAAACACCACAGTTTGAGCTTAAATCAAAGATGAAACCTGGACAGCAAGTGTTCCAACTCAAGGGAAAAAAACTCAACCTGAAATTTTGTCAAAGTGGAAATATTTGCAATAATGTATTTTCACATTTGTTCACTTCTTTTGGCAGTGAACGTAGATTAACCAGAGTTCAGTCTGTACAATGTGAGAAGTGGTGAAAACAGTCCTTATACTCTTGATATCTAAGTAAAAAGCCCTACAGCTCTATGTTTACAGTCTGCGTTTAGATGGCGAAACAAACATGTTTTTATAGGAAGGGAAGGTTTGGAAAATAAACATAGCATTCATATGTGCATTTTAAGGTGATTTTAATCATAACAGAAAATTTGGCTTTTTATCCAAATAACACAGTAACAGTGCGTTAGCGTTAAACAAGAGGTGTGAGCCTGTGAAGTGTTGAACACCAGAATTCTTCCTGCTTTGCTCCAGCCTGATTAGCCAAAACCATAAATGAGCCAGAACAATTTTCTGTGCTTGGGCCATGAGTTATGAGGGGCTGGACAGACTCCTGGGTGTGACCAGGCAGTTCAGGAGCTGGGCCACTGGCCTGGTCCTCATACGCTTACAGGACAAACAGACCTCAGGTCTAAATGCCAGCTGTGGTGATTGAAGATTGCAAGAGCCACACAGGCATGTGGACCCTGAAACATAAAGATATAAGGCTCTGTCTGCTGCTGGGCTGATGGATCTGGACTCCTCGGGGAGCTGCTCAAGACATCAACAGCGTATGGTTTTCAGTGAACCTCTTGAAAGGCTACTGTAAGTGAGCAGGAATTCCATGTACCTGTGGGGCAATTGTAAGAACTCTAACCAGGGCTCAGGGGGTGGACTTCCTTCATTTCCTGGGTGGGTGGAACAATCTGAAATACACCTTTTAATGAATCCAGGGATATTTTTGTTGTAGACAGCATGGATAAAGCAGTGCTATTGTTACTGTTTGAAGCCGTGAGTCACCATTGCTGTTTGTTTCTTATAGTGATTCATCAGTTTCCAGCCCAACCTGCTGTTAAGGGTGAGCAAAGAAGTTTGTCATAATGTGCCTTCTTAAGCAAACACTTTTAACTCACTGTTATCTGGGGTCTTTTCACTCTCAGAGAAGGTGCTGTGTGGAGAACTTTTCCAGTGGATGAAATGTAGAGATTTTCACAGTCATTACCTAGTTTGATTCTTCTTGTTTTGTCATATATTACTAAATGGTGTATATTTGGTTTATGTTAGAATTTTATAATCAGCCTATTTTCTGCCTCCTTTATGCTGTAGCAATGGTGATTTCTGTGTGTTAAATGCTGTCGCTTAAAAAAATGTTTCAGTGTCTGTATAGATGAATGGGAAAACCAAGAAGAAAAGGTTGTTTAGTAAGTGGAAACAAGCAGACAAAGAAAAGTGGCAAGAATAAAAACAGGAACCAAATTAAGTATAGCTACCTTTTTGTCCGACTTTGAAAAGCATAAGATGTTGTCTTTCAATTCTGCGAGTGTGGCAGAACATCCACTGGTAAACAGTAGGATGTGGCAGGAATGGCAGAACTGGTTACATACTCTTCCTGCCTGTGGCTTGATTGGCCATTGAACAACTTGTATTTTCTTTGTTTGCTTTTTTCCCCCAAGAGACTGAGATGTTTGTTGTCAGAACTATTCTCTTTTGTTTTGTATCTTTATCATGTCTCTGGATATATGCAGAAGTAACATGGTTATTTTATTCCCAGTCTCACTTTTGAAAAAGATTGGCCTCTGGACTGGATATCAACAACTCCCTTTTTGTGGGGGGAACCTAGTATTTACTAGTCTGTAGTCTATGTGCATATTTTCATTTCATTGCCAGAGTTGGCTTTTACTGGGAACTGATGGGATCTGATCAATAACAAGTTCTGTTTGAACAGCTAAATGTAATATGTACCTTTTTAATAATGAGTTCTCTTGACAGTATCCAGGCCATTACTTGGCTATTGACTGATTCCTATGTCTGCAGATGGTAAAACCATAGCAAACTCATTTATTTTGTGGCCAGAGACAGAAGAAGTAAATAGAGAATGGAACCTGCTGATTCTGTGCTGTGATGGAATGGAGCTCCATTTACAGTATTATAGGCTACTGTAACTTCAAATGCAGTTCCAGTTATGATGAATGTCAACAAAGAACAACCATTCCATGCTGAGATGAAACTGTGAATCCTGTATAGAATGTGCCCCCAATGTGCAAAAAAAAAATTTGGCACTTCATGTGCGCTCAGAGCTAGTAGGATAATGTACATTGTGGCAGTCACATGCCCAGGTGGTAGCTGAGCAGGTACAGTTTCTGTGCCTGAGTTTATTCAGTGGGAGTGGAAATATGTGCACTTTGGAAGGTTTAGCTGTTTTAAATAAAATGTGAGGCTGTTATTATTGCAGTTGGAGTAAACTGGTTCGCTGAATCTGACAGCTCTGTAAGGTACAAAGGATGGCTGATTTGAGTAGCTATTAGTTTGTATGTTTCTGGGCAATGGTGGCATTAGACATGAAAGCTGAACTCAGAGACATCTTCCCCTCTAATAAACCTCATCAGTCTCTCTGGAATCAGACTGCTGCCAAGAGAATGAGGTTCCTGTGGAATTTGATCATCACGGATACATTCATGTTTCTGGGAAAAAAAGCCCAAGGAAACCTTCCCCTTGCAAATTTTGCAGGCTGAGCTGCTGTGGAAGCCAGTTGGGGTTGTATCTGCTCATTCAGGATCACGATGACAGTCTGCAAGAAATTTTCTCTTTCTCTGACACTGCTGTGTAGACAGTGAGCTCACAAATGTGGACAGTGTGAATGCAGCACTGTTTGTACAACCATATCTTGGCCTAAACCCTTACCCTTCTTCCAAGACTCCTGGATTTTCTGAGGAAAGGTGAACAGAAGATGCGCTTAGAAATGACATTAACTCTGCTTGTAGTTGCAGAACCAAGGCATTGATCACCGTCTTCACAAAGCACCATGCTGAAGCCTTTGTGTTGCCTGCAGGGGCTGTTTCTAAACGAAGGCTGAATACGGGCTTGATTGCACCTCTTCCCTTGATTACAGAGCAAGATTTCCTGGGGATGCTGCCTGCTGAATGACAGAGGAGCCCATTGCTCTGTAATTATCACACTTCTAACTTCATCGGGAACAGATTTTTCTATAGCCCCTCAGCTTCGTTTAAAGTGATAAGTTACTGTGGGATTTATCCTCTTCCTGCCTCTTTGGAGCAGCTCAGCCTTGGCTGTATCTGAAGGCACTGCCCAGCCTCACTTGCAGTCACCCTATCTCCCTGCCAGCCACCCCAGTCTTCCGAACACTAAGGGATAATTTGGCACTTTGCCATGAGCCTGATGCTTGCACTTAAATTGCATATACATTTACATACATTTTGTAATCAGAAACAAATGAACACGACCATAATATTTGCTTCCACTTGCATATTCCTTGATAGATGAATATAAATTGGTTGTTGAATTCACCAGCAATAAACACTTGCAGACCCTCCATTTGGTCTTGTGCTTTGGTCTTATAGAGGACAGCAGGCAGTTCTGGAACATGCTTTGGATGGGCCCAGATCTTCAAAAAAGTTCAAAATTTAGAATTGATTGTTTCCAAAGTCTGTGGAGTAAATATTGCAAGGGTCAAATCTGCTGTTTTATGTCACTTCTTATGTCACAGCACTGGCCATTGGGCAGAAATCTGGTAAGAACTCTGCCCATGACTTCATTTTGCAAGATTTCAGTTTCCCCCATCTCTTTTGCTTGCTCATTCTTCCTGGTTTTAAGTTCCTTTGGTTGTATTTAAAGTTATAGTCTTTTTTCCAGTCTGGTTGCAATTTTTTTGATTCATTGCCAGATGAGCACCAGAGAAAGATGATGTTTTCAGGTATTAATGTTTATAATTAATGTTTATAGAGTGCTTTGAAACTTTGAAGTGGAGTTTAAGCACCATTTGTTATTCTTAGTGATAAGTATTAAAACTGAGCAGGAGCCACAGGATTTGAATTTTGATCCTACATACCCTTTCACAGAAGATGCCAAGGACCCCCCTCACTAAGTGTGGACTAAGCAACTCCAGAGCTAGCTGGGTTTGTTTTGTAGACTCCCCTGCTTTAGAAGCAGGGGAGCTGCAGGGAGATTGCAGGACCCTGTATGGCGAGAGCCATTGATTCAAACAGTCTGGCTGCA